TTTGTATGACTAAAGATTTTGTATTCCTGCGAGAATGTTCTATTTGTCGTAGGCTAGATCAGAACAATTTTATTACTTTTCACAAACACTTCTGGATTCCTCCTGCGGCGGTTTTTGCGTCAAGCTCCGAAGAAGCCAACAGAAACTGTTTCAGTCAAGCTCCGGAGAAGCCAACAGGATGATTGGCGAAACGTTAACAAGTTCGACTCAGCAAAAACCGACGCGGGAGGAATCCAGAAGTTTTGTAAAAATTATTACAGTAGCTTCAAAAATTAACAATTTTATTATTTAGCTATACTAGAAATACGACGAAAATTTAGGAGAAGGATGAAGATAAATTTAATATTTCATCTAAAAAATTTCGACTCCCTTGACATTTTTTAGAACTTCCAAATAGCCATTGTACAATAGTTCCCTTTCTGGTCTAAATTCGTATCATATCTTCCTTTACTGCCCTATCGTAGTGCCACTCGTTGAGAGAGGACGTATAAACTATTTAAATGTGAAAAAGACAATAGCTAAGCTGAGTAACATCGGCGTGCTAGATATTCACTCAAGCGGACCACCCTTTTGTTACATTGCTCTCGCCGTGTTCTGTTAGGGGTGGGAATTGAGATTCTGTTACGCAAGCAAAACGAATGAGAAAGGGTAAGATATGGTGAAATCTGTAAATATTGTTTCATCCCATGAACGACCAGGTGCAGTAAAATGGAGTGACTATGCTATTTTATGGTACATATAATTTTCTGAGTGTTTTTATTTGGTGCTTGATTGTCTTTTATAGGCGATTAAGGTTCCACATTGTCCTTTTAATATTGGCGGACAGGTGTTATTAAATTGTACATTCTAAGTTTAGGACTAACAGTATTTAAGTTCAATGTCCAAGAAAGAGAGAGAGGTGTCTCATCAACCTTAGGCAGGTGCACATGTAAACTAGGAAGCATGTGGCACTATCTAACGCGTGCAATTAACATCCCTTTTTTCAATCGAAATTGTTTCTCGAGTTGGCAGTTGGTGTGCGATCGAAACGTTCAATGTTCATGATTAAGTAACGCAGTGAAGTCACCAAATCATTATAAAAATTAACCGCACTATATTTATTTTAATTATTCGAATTAATAATATCGAAAATTTCTTTTTCTACTCCCGTCTGTAAAATACCTAATTACCCACCGATCTAGCGCGCGGGAAGCGTCACGTACCACGTCAATTTCGTTTCCCACGAATCCGAGCCATTTCGGACGTTTCCGAGATTTTACCGCACGGATTTGGGAGCGATCGGATGTTTTCGGAGATATTTCTCACGCCTTAAATTTTGACGTTTGTCAATTCTGACTGTCAGGGTGAATGTATTCTTGTTGTTTTGCGAAAATGTACCCAAAAACTGACGGTCGTAGAAAAAGTATAGTACACGTTCGGTAAAGTTAAACGTTTACCGTACTTGTTGCATAATATACTATTACATTTATTTCCCTACGGCTTTTCAACATTAATAATAGTAGTAGGATGTACGCTTGAAAAAATAATTTAAGTAAAATATCCTGTTCTTATCGTCCATTTCCGTCTTCATGCGATGGAAAGGGCGTAGATCACGTAATAAATGGTCGACTGAAAATCCAGTAAAGGATGTATTTGCTTTGTTTAAAGTCACTCAGACTGATCCTTAAACAATGCGGTTTTGATTGGGTCATTTTCGTTGTATTTATCTGCTTTGAGTTAAGCAAGTTTCCTATACGAGTGCCTTGTATGTCTAACTTTTCGCTAAGTACAGCAGGAAAACTAAACTGCGAAGAACCTGCTGCAGTTTCGAAAGTGAATTATGTTATTTAAAACGGAAATAATAAATATACAATTATGCAAATTTATTAAGATAGGGATTATCAATGTTGCCCAGCTGATTTTGGAATAATATGCGCGCTTGGTAAAACTAGGTCGCTTCATGATTATAATTATTTGCGATAAAATTTAACTGGTTCCATGCAATAATTTCTTTGAATATCATTTTCGCATTTGTTCTTCCTTGAATAGTTTTAAAAGTGTATAAGGACTTATTGATTTTAAACTTATCACATCGACTTTTTTAAACGGCTCAAGAAAGGTGTATAGACAAAGAATAATATATGATTAGTTATTATCCATAATCCACCAATGGTGATTTATAGAAATCAATCAAACAAAATTGTGGTTCGCACATCATTTGCATGTTTTGAAACTTTTAATTTATTGGTGTTCCTTGTGTTAAATTTAACAAGATTTTGCAAGCCATATGCAAATTAAAATTTACCAAACAACACTTGTTTTTTCGAACTGCATATAGCTGCGTGTATAATTAAATTTGTCACGTATTATGTGCGATTCTCTTTATCAGAGAGAGGTGACGATCGTTTGGTGTTTATAATATTTCTAAGAGATGTGTTATAATGTTTTCAATTTCTCAGTTAAATGAATGCGTGGTATGTCTCCTCCTTTATAAAACAAATTTTTGTAATGACGAAAGAGTTTGACTTGAAATTCCGGTTTGAGAATTCTTTTAAAATGCTTTTCCGTGTTAATAAAAGACATTTTTATTTATGCGGGCGCTTTTACAAGAAGCAAAGGCTGCATGTTAATTTGAACACAACACTTGCATTCACATTTTAAAACGTCATTTCTTCACCACCTGCAGGTCACTTTTCGTTTTCCATTACAGCAATACGCTTCGTAATCACCGATAAAACGATTGTGTTGACGCGCAGGATATGGTCAAATAGTTTCTAACTTCGGAAAATATAAATTCAATAAATAATAATTTTAAAAAAATAAACAGTGACGTTATCGTTTTTTTATAATTATTTTGAATGGGTTTATGAATAAACACATTTTCAATTTCTTTTTCACTTTTGATAATATTGCTGCAAGCTCTGTTCATAGATATAAGAAAGTGATACGAATTAACGAAAGACCCGGGCAAGCTGTAAGAATGAAATATGGCCTAACAGATCCCTACTTTTCTTAGAATTTAGTTTTTTGGGGTTTTGTTAGGAAAGATACTAAACAATATTTATTTATTTATGTATGTATTTAGGTTTAAATCTAAAATAAAATTAGAAATTATTTTTATTACCTACTTAAATTATTTATAATTATTCACATAATATATCAGTATCACTATCGCTACCATCGCCTGTTCTAATTATTATTTGTTCTATATTATTTGCAATATGGATATACGATTGTTCTGCTTTTCCTATATGTTTAACAAAATTTGCCCAACTTGTTACGACTAATGGCAGATTTCAGTTGGTGCCGAACGTATTCAATGGGATTAAATATACGGTGGTAAGGTAGAAGCCTTAAAACTGTATATAATCATAAGTGTGGAACCAGGTTTCATCCAAGTAAATAATTGGCCTTTGTTGTTCTCTGTAAATCCTAATTTTTTCTAGATATTCCAGTCGCCATTTACGAATTCTAAAAGATTGCAGTAAAACTTGCCTTTTGTCAATTTTTTTACATCTAAAACCCATGTGTTGAATACGCTTCCATAAGGTAGTTCTGCCACATTTAACATGTTAACATAACCACTTTCATCTACACTCGAGAAAATGTTAGCATCGCTTCTTTTTTTCCTCGCTGAAATGGGATTATTCACAATTTTCCATACAATTGATGTTGGAATTTTCGTCAATATGGTCGTTTCTTCTAAAGATGCTTGCTTGATGGCACCACGTTCAATGAGAGTCAAATAAACATTGTTTATAACTTCCTTAGTCTAAATAGAGTAGTGTTTTCTACATTTGGGAGGGAGCATCTCCTGAGATACACTAGACTCGCACATATTTTGCATAATCCGCACACGATTCAACACACGAAATAAGAATGATTACTAATAAACAACTTAAGTAGTATACCAATCCAAAGAATATTAAACACAGGTAGGTATAAAATTATTTTCTATTACGGACCACAATTTTAATGAATTTAAATTCCGAAACTTTAGGTAATAATCTTGTTTCATTGTATGTTAATGACCACCCTTGGATAATCCCATTCAAAAGCAATTGGTCACTTTCTTATATCTATGAACAGACCATACCTTTAGAATTTAGAACGTAATGTAAATTGAACATACAAATAAAGTTATCCATTTATCTACGTTCATGTTATCAACATTTATTTTAAGTTGAATTATTTTTTTAAATTAAGAGATGATCGTTAAATATAATTTTTTACTCCCGGCTGTAACTTCGTTGCACACGGTCGCGAGCCACTTCGGGCGTTTCTGCAATTCGGTTTTTCAAAAGTGTACCCAAAAACTCGCGACATAAAACTTGTGACTAAAATGACCTTATATATTATTAAATAATATGTAAAAATATAAACTTTGAAAGTAGTAATAAAAAAAATCAACAATAGTCGATGACATCATGTCTGAAATTTGGGACACTCTGCTTAACATGTCTTAAATTAAAAAAAGGGCCATTTCAAATACTCATCAACTTGCCCAAACATAAAATTTTCTTTCACTGAATTTATTCCAAGTTAGAGGTTCGCACTGTATATTTTGATGTTATAGTATTAGAATTATGTCTGAATTGCCTGCCAAACTATCTTAAATATGCACGATTAAAAAACGTTATATACATTTTGTATTGTTTTTAAATCTTTCAATATAATAATAATTAATCATAACCGAAAGTTTTGACCCGATGCCGTGAGATCTTCTTTCGTTTGGGTTGATTTGTAACGATCCCTGGCGAATATTTTCTACAAGAACGATTAAAATATTCAACATATAATTTGCCTACATCCGGTATCTATTCAAATACATGTTTAAGCCTTTCAGTAAGCTTAGGTCGAATTTCCTATCTGAAAGGATGACCCATTTTCTTCCGTTTGTGAACGCAAACGTTAACCTAGTTACATTTCTTTCGTCCTTTTTAGTTTTTGGACTATCGTCTTTCATTAAAATGTAGGTAGTCGTTTAAATAAACTGTTTATTGATTTTTCTTACATTTCAGGTATAAAAAAGATTTGGATTCGGAAATAGACAATTCAGGAAACGAAGATTCAGACGATTCGACAGGCGTAGAGGAATCCCAGCACTCCAAGGTTAAAAAACCAATTAACAAGGGGCGATGGAGCAAGGACGAGGTACGTGCATTTATACATGCAAACAACTTTTTATTGTATTCTCCATTTTGAAAAGATAGTAACAAAACGCATTGGAGTTGGCTAATAACTAAATTGGATAGACAATTTTGAATATTCAATATGGAAATGGCTTTCTTATTTTATTCTCGTTGGTTCGCCACGTTGTTACTATAGTTCTCCAAACGATATACAATTTTTTCGACATAATCCGGTATTTAACTTTGGTAAATTTTTATGATGGTCTCAATAAATAGATTCATAATTCCACAATGACTTTACAGAACCGTACTTCCATACTTCGTGCATACAAATGCTAAAAGCTGAACGAGTTTCATAGATGAGATTCTCGATAATTATTAGTCTATGCAGTGAAAAATCCATTCTTATATAAAAATGTTTATTATAAATATAAAAATATAAATATATGAAGCAAACTGGGAAATCATCCATTATAGATCAATTATCTACATCAGATTTTGGAATTCTAGGACAATATTTTAGAGTCATTGTGTTGAACCCTTATATTGGCAATTAGTTTAAGCTTTCTAATGTGCTTTTAATGTAGGAGATCAACCTACCCAATGTGTAAATTCAACTTGAAATCGAGCTACCTCAAGTAGGGACTCTTTTAGGAAGATTTGTATAAAGCACACTAATATGAATTAATATAACAGCTTAATCAAAGAGAATTTCCCTACTCTTAAAATACAACAGTCCGCACGCCAGAGTTTTTGTCGGCTAACATGTTAAATACGGCCCTGGCTTGTGGTACACGTGCTGAAAAGAATGGCCGCTTCCGCTTTAGAACAGGCGGATCTTAAACTCATTTCCAAGTCAGATGGTTGTAAAAACGGTATATGGTTTGGAGAACTCTACCAGTAGTTATTGCTGTGGTATTACAACAAGACCGGACAAACCCTGGAATTTATAATTCACCTATGATTAAAATTTGTTAAAGTAAGTAAAGTTTTACTTAAGTATTTTAGTATTCATTATTAATTATATGATGATTATATACTGTGCTGTGCTCTTTGTCTTTTTGTTAAGTTAACCATTTCAATAAATGCCTGTGATCTTACTTTCTTCCAAATCTGACAAGCCCTTATTTTTGAGATCACAAAACATTTGACGTCACTTATTTCAAGATACAGAAATCTATTAATCAAAACTATTATAGAATTATAAGATAATATTTTTCCAGGATAACAAATTGAAGCAATATGTTGAAGAATACAATGAGAAATGGGACCTGATATCAGAACATTTTCCCGACAGGTCGGATGTTCAGTGTCAACAAAGATGGACCAAAGTGGTTAATCCGGAATTAGTGAAAGGGCCTTGGACCAAAGAGGTTTGTGTTAATTCTAATTTGTTCGCCTAGACAGTCGTATACTATCGCGTCTAAGACATTAGGGTTTCTCGAATTTAGATGAGATTATCAGTAGCGCTTAAGTGCAGATATTTATGCCAAAAAAAGTGTTTAACAAAAGCTGACAAAATGATGAGAAGACTTTTTACTTAAAATTCTCTTTGCCTTGTCCATATCTTTGCATGGCATGTTGTCCAGTTTTGCCACTTTCAAAATTTTCGTTTCGGCGAACTGTTTGTACTAAAATTTTTATTTTTTATTTCATATCCGTTAGGACGATTCACGGATACGAAGGCAGTAAGTAAGTAAAATATGACAAAAAAAAAGTGGTTCCATTTTCGACTGCCAACTATTTAGATATAGCAAAATTACTTATAATTTTTAACAGCAACATGCTCGCATAAGAGAGAACAAATTTCTATATATAAAGTGCTGGATATATAAGTAGCTGGATTTTCTACGTATTATGTATTTATATATATTTATTGAATATATTTATTAATTAAATTTATTGAAAATGTTTTAATCGTAGAATTCCGAGCTCAAAATCTTAATATTTGTTTCTTAATATTAAATTCTGATATTAATATATATATTAATATTGTGCGCATTCATGTTTAACTTTAAATGTCAAGAAAAATTATGATTTTTTTGTTAGGAAGAAAGAGTATGTTACTTGCACATATAGTATGAAAGAATCAAAAAATTATTCTAAAATGGCAATTCCACCAGTGCCACAAAATTTGGGATGGTCGATCAGCCACTTTCTGTCGCACGTTCTGGTAGTAGCCAGAAAAGTTTATTTAACGTACAGCGAACTCCTGTTGTAAAGTATCATCTAGGGACCAGAAAATGAGTACTCTATAAGCCGAAGTACGCTATAAAAGAAAACCACAGAAATTATGTAGATACGTACATATTTTTATTTTATATAAAAATAGAAAACTAATAAACACTAATATAGGTACTAACTAAACTAAAACTTATCTATCTATATAAACTTTACAACATACAAGTAAAAAAATGCGTTATTTTTGTTTGTTTATTTTTTCTCAATACAAATTTCATATTTTCGATATGCTTCGCAACCTTCCAGGACGCTTGCATAATATCATCAATTACATTATACGTAGATTGTAAAAAAATTGAACATCATCGTCGCTTTCGTTACCAGAGCTTTGAGGATCATTTGCCTGTAAAACCTCACTAACAATATCATTTCAATGTTGGTTAAACGTTGGCCGCTATTGCGCAACCAATTACTTAGGGGAACCTCCCATTCATCTTGTCATTATTTTTGTAATTCTCGAACCACTGAACCAGAGGTAAGTCATCGTCTGAATCAAACTTATCTTCTGATTTTATCAGACCTGCATGTCGAAAACACGTTGAAATCGTGGTTGAAGTAACATCATTCCAAAATTGTGCAAGTAATTTTGTGGAGTCTAGGATAGTGATGTTGAAAGGTTCCTTATTTTCAAATATGTTTTAAGGTATTTTATGATGCCCTGATCGATTGGTTGGATGACTGAGATGTTATTTGGAGCCAAAAACTCTAATCCAATATTTAAAACGAATAGATTTTTTGGATGAGCTGCACAATTGTCAACCAGAACCAATATTTTTCTATTTTGGCGTTTTAGTTTTTCCTCCCAATCCTTTGAATAATTATAAAAAATCGCTGAAGTCATCCACGCTTGCTGGTTTGACTTATAAATAGATTTTTCACATTTTTCATGCATCTCGGACGTTCATATTTGCCAATAACAAGAAGTTTGCATTTTTCGCTTCCTGTCATATTTGCACAAACCCAAACGGTGTACCTCAACTTCGACTGCTTCCTAACGAAAAACTTTTCTCCTCTAAATTTAAGGGTACGATCTGGAGTCATGTTAAATAGCCCAGTCTCGTCAGCATTGAAAATATCCTCAGAGCTGTAATTTTGTGCAATACTGGTCCACTTATCCTCGAACCAGTTCAGCACAGCTTGTTTGTTAATATCTCCAGAAATTTTTGCTACGTTTATGTTGTGACAAACTTTAAAACGTTCGAGCCAACCCGTAGAGACAACTAAAATCCTCGTCCTCTAATCCCCTGGCTAATTCATCGACTTGCGATTTCAGAACTGGACCACTTATTGCGATATGTTTGGATCTTCGAACTAAAAAATCATCGTAAAAGAGCTTTATCTACATATGAACGTACAAGATTTCCAATTTTTTTTTATTCTTTGCGATTTGCAAATGTTCTAATTTTTAAATAAAAATATAAAATAGGGTAAGTCTTAGTATTTTGAGCTCAGGATTCTGCACCTTATGAATTTCCAATTATTAATGAATCATCCCGTATACATAGTTGTGTATTTTAGCGTGATCAAATTATCAATGGTGGACTAAGAAATATTTTCGAGAAATCAAATTATTTGATATAGTATTTCCCTCCTAGGACATTTATTTCCAGTTCTAAAACAAGTTGTTTAAAAGTTGCATGGTTCAAAATAAACTTGTTTTGTCTACCAGGTGATGGAGATTTTGAATTGACAAAATTCCGATTCACGGGAATATGGTTTCTTACGTTTCTATCCAACAAATTGTTGTCGCGAAATAGAGAAAGAAACCTTTTTTGAGCTGTCATAATTTTTTATTCGGACAAAGCTCGCGAAATCTTCATATTTTTTTCTATTTAAATATGTATATAAATTGAAAAACATTTTTTACTTTCACTTAGACTTGTGTCGACAAATGTCGGATATTGTTAAAATTAAAACAAAAAAGGTTAAACATGTACCCTATATAGATAAAACAAAATTTATAATAAAGTACAATCGTGTCCGGTGAGACAGGAGATATAAAATAGTAGCAGGGTCAAATATGTGAAGACCACCAAACAATTTTTTTTCCTATCTCATTTTATCCCAAACATAAAAAAAATAAAAAAATACTTTTTTTCTCTGAAATTATTTATTTTGTTGCACTTAATACATTACATGTGTAAAAAAAAATAAAAACTCGAAACATACAAAAAAATACTGGTGCGAACCACTGGGAAAAAACAATAAATAATGTTTTGGGGCACATAAGGTGTAACGTATAATTTATACATAAATATACAAAGGAAAGTTCAAATTCGACAGAAAACAACTAAAAGTAGATTGATTTTCCAAATAGAACCTGATTTGATACAAAAAAACGGTTTTATTTTTGGTAATATTTTACAAAGCATGTATGTATGTAAATGCACGCATTACATTGATTACAAACGTAAATTGTGTGGCTTCTTCTATGGTAGGTGCAAGATTTCTTTGAGTAATTGTTTTATCAGTTTTTAAAAGTCGCAAAGCAATGTAAGATTTAAAATCAAATCAATCACTTCGTCATTAAAAAAACATCAAAATTATTTCAAGCGTAAATCCAAATAATACTTACGACTTTCATTTTTTATTGTCCTCATCCATCACGATCTCGTCCATAGCCGCCTTTAATTCCTTTTGTTTCAAATACCTCGGAAATGCCATATTTTACGAACTCTAACGTTAACTGCACAATGCACAAATTAATACTAAAGAACAGGCTAATTGTTGGTTGTTTGTTCTACATGCGCTGACTCGTCTAGACTTGCAATAACAAAGTTTTGTTTCACAGATAAAACCAGTGGTGCGTTCACGCACCAGTAAATATTTTCAAAAAATAAAGCATAATCAATATAATATTTCCAATGTATGTTTTCTGCGGTGTACTCTACATGCTATAGACTTAACAAAATTTTTTTTTGCTATTTTCGATTTACTTGAAAATGTGATACAAATTTATGTACGGTCTGTTCATAAATATGGGAAATATGGGATGAATGGGATTATGCAAGGGTGGTCATTATCATACAATGCACCAAGATTATTACCTAAGGTTTCGGAATTTAAATTCAGGTAATATTGTGGTCCGTAATAGAAAATAATTTTATACTTACCTGTGTTTAGTTAGTTTAGTTTATGTTTATTAGTAATCATTCTTATTTCGTGTGTACTACAGCGTGTGGTGAATCGTGTGCGAATTATGCAAAATATGTGCGAGTCTAGTGTATCTCAGGAGATGCTCCCGCCCAAATGTAGAAAACACTATTCTATTGAGACTAAGGAAGTTATAAACAATGTTTATTTGACTCTCATTGAACGTGGTGCCAGCAAGCAAGCATCTTTAGAAGAAACGGCCACATTGACGAAAATTCTAAATAATCCCATTTCAACGAGGAAAAAAAGAAGCGATGCTGACATTTTTTCGAGTGCCGATGAAAGTGGTTATGTTAAAATGTTAAATGTGGCAGAACTACCTTATGGAAGTGTATTCAACACATGGGTTTTAGATTTAAAAAAATTCACAAAAGGCAAGTTTTAATGGAATCTTTTAGAATTTGGAAATGGCGACTGGAATATCTTGATAAAATTTGTATTTACACAGAACAACAAAGGCCAATTATTTACTTGGATCAAAAAGAGGTAAAAGAATAACTATTTTGCATGCTGTCTCTAAAGATGGTTGGATTCCAAATGGACTTTTTCTGTCTGCGAAAAATATCAAAGATTCTTCTCTAAATTACCATGAAGACACCACCGCTGATTTATTTGAAAGTTGGTTTAAAAACAAACTAGTTCCAAACGTTCCTCCTAATAGCGTCATTGTAATGGACAATGCAAGTTAGGACAGTAGACAGTTGACTAAAACCCCTTCCTCATGTGACACAAAAACAACAATCCAAAACTACATGTATACTAACGAAATTTATTTTCACGAAGATTATACCAAAAAGCAATTAATTGAAGTTCTACAAAGCTTGAACCTACAAAATGAATACGTCTGTGATAGTTATGCAAAAAATCTAGAGCATATAGTTTTACCACCCTATATTTAATCCCATTGAACATGTTTGGCACCAACTGAAATCTGCCATTCGTCGTAACAATGTTTTCCCCGTGTTAACTCCAATGTCCT